GGAACCGAGCTAAATCCCCGGCCCTAAGAATCTTAATCTTACCTCTAAATCAGTTTCCATGAAATCAAAGACAAGGCTAATATTAGATTTATGTCCAAAAGCATCAAGGAGCTACAAAACAAAAGTTTTTAAAAAGTTAAAATGTGATTTTCTACTTAACACTGTTGGTATGACATAACTAATGTAATTTACAAAAATTTAAACATTTGAACTATTGGCAATTTCCTCGAAAGGTGAAATCATTTTACTAAATTTGACTTTTGTCTTTTTTTGGACACTGGTAAAGAAATTAGCATTTTGAGGCACAAAAATATTAAACTATTTTTTAAAATCACTAAATATTTAAGTTCCCCTAAATTTGGGGAGTTATAACTAAGAAGTAAATTAATTTAAAACTTCACCTCAGTCTCCAATTCAAAAAAATTTCCCAAGCACACTACTTAAGAGAAGTCTCCTCAGGTTCAGTAGCGTGAACCTGTAGTCTTAGCTACTCAGGACACTGAAACAGGAGGATCACTTAAACCCAAGAGTTCAAAGCCAGCCTGAGCAACACAGTGAGCTCTTTCAAACTTAAAAAAGAAAAAAACCCCAGAAAATTCTAAGTAGCAGCAGCAACCATACAATGAAGAAGTACATTCTCCATGCACACTATTCCAGACTCTTTCTGTGTTTTCTACTAGCTAGCCTCCTGACAACCTTAGGAAGTAGAGGCCGTGGTACAGAGCTGAGAAAGAGCTTACTCAAGGTCCCACAGGCAAACATAAGGGCTCTGACTGCAGGCTGACACTCTTGGCCACCATGCTAGAGCTCTGTGGGATTCAAAATTATTTGTACCAGGATTACAGGCGTGCAGTATTCTGCCCAGCTTAGTTATATAGTTTTAAAGACACTGGCTGCAGGAATAATTCGGATAGAAAATACTTCCACCTGATCAGCTTTTCATCTTCTTCTGCAAGGCTCACCTGGAACAATTCACCTTCCTGAGGCTTCAATCAACACCTACCGTGTTCAAAAAGGCAGGATCCCAAACATCAAACGATTTGGATCATACTCACACCAATTATATTTGGATGACTTAGCTCCTGTAATAATTTTATCTCTCTTAAGGCTGTTCTATTTATACCTACGTAAAAAGGCAAAGCAAAAAGTAAACAATAATTCTGAAATCTCAAACATACTTACAAATAAATTTTTTAGGAAAGGTCAGTCACTTCAGGAAATAGCAACAAACATTCCACAGAAAAATTAGGGCAATTCTGACAATTTGCACGATAAATCTGTTTCTTTTTTACACACTGCTTTATTTTTAAAGTAGCTTAACACAGACTACAGTACACGGGGTTTTTTGTTTTTGTTTTTTACACGGGGTTTTTTTGTTTTTGGTACCAGAGATCTAACTCAGGTCCTTGCGCTTGCGAGGCAGCGGGCAGAACTACTGAGCTAAATCCCCAGCCCCTGGTACATGGTCTTAAAAGGTTCATTATTGGGCCTGGGATTTAGCTCAGTGGCACCATGCCATGCCTGCCTCAAAAGCTCAATGTCCTGAGTTCGATCCCTGGTACCAATAAAAGAAAAGTTCATTCTCAACAGCAGATCACATCTGAAAACCATTAGACTAAGAATATACAGATAAGTGAACAAGTTCTCTTCTCTTACCCTACAAACATCAGGAACACCTTACTTCTGCTAACAGTGAACCACTGAGAAGACAGTATTTTTTCTAATACCAGAGACAATTCAAAATGAAATCTGGTGCTGGCACTTACATAGGTGACGGACTGTTTTCATAAGAACTATGTTGTGATGATTAAACAGGACTTAGCACTCTAAAAAGGATATGGAAAAGAAATCTTTCCCCTACATGTCCATTCCATAGTGAATTTTGTGTACTTCCATAAACATGTACCCTAAACTCTCAAAGCAATTAGAAGCTCAGAAAGAGAAAAATCAAGGACATTTAATACTTAAAATAGTAATGAGATCAGTAAGACAGGCCACTAACAACCTTGGTGCCTTCCATTTAACTTAGGTGATGTGAATGTAAAAATTATCAAATGTCTCCACTCTGTCTTTACTCTTCTGGGACACTGCAATAACTATCTAGAACCTTTTTTAACTCTTACTAGTACTTTGCTCATTTCTTTAGTGAGAAAAAAACATTTCCCGTTTTGTCAAGTTATATGAATACTTACCATCTTTAGCTTCTGATCTATGTCCAAGTTTGATCTGGTTGAGAAGAAAACACAAAAACCACACACATTAAAAATGCATTAGCACGGCCAGGGATCTAGCTCAGTGGTTCTACCGCCTGCCTCAAAAGCACAAGGACCCAAGTTTGATCCCCGGCACCAAAAAAAAAAAAGCATTAGCTCTTTTACCTACCCCATCCCTCTGTCTTCCTCCCCTCCACCTCTCATTCCTATATGATGCCTTGTTAGACCCCTGCTGACCCTGCTCACCTCGGGACCCCCTTAACCCTTTGGCCTTCATGATCTGCCTGAGTCATAAAGAGTCACACAGCTAATTCAAGGTTGTGGTTGGTGGCTTAGAAAAACTCGTTTTGAAACTTCTGACATCTAAAATCTTAGACATTTAAGATTACATTAGCCTGAGTGACCTTATAGCAGCCAAAATCTTATGGTATACAAATTTTAATACCTTAATGTACACCTGTGCTCCTGAATCTGACTTCATGGAATAAGTGGAACCTATGGATATGCTACTTTGTATAGCTGAAGGGACTCTGAAGATGGGATTAACTGAAGAATGTGTTAAGTGGAAAGATTATCCTGGATTATCTGGGTGACAGACTGGAGATGTGACAGTGTAAGCAGAGATTAGAGTCATACTTCTTTTTTTTGGCACCAGGATTGAACTCAGGACCTTGCACTTTCAAGACAGGCGGTGGCACTATTGAGCTAAATCCCTGGCCCTAGAGTCACTTGAAGAAAGTGAAGAAATGATGAGGATTGCAGGCAGCTTCTGAAACCTAGAACCTTCTGCCCCC